GATGTCAAATATTATTATTATTAAAGATAAAAGTACCCCTGACCGTTAGGTCCAGTCGTGGACGACTCTGGGGTTGCAGCGCTCATCTCACTCTACAGGCCGAGGGAGCCGGCGTTAGTCCGCAGACAGCTTCCAGGTCATGTGGCCAGCATGACTAAGCCGCTTCTGGTGAACCAGAGCAGCGCACGGAAACACCGTTTACCTTCCTGTCAGAGTGGTACCTATTTATCTACTTGCACTTTGACGTGCTTACGAACTGCTAGGTGGGCAAGAGCTGGGACCGAACAACAGGAGCTCACCCTGTCGCGGGGATTCGAACCGCTGACCTTCTATCGACAAGCCCTAGGCTTGGTGGTTTAGACCACAGCGCCACCTGCATCCCTGTTGTTGTTGTTGTTGGAGAACCATGTATGTCACCTTAAACTCTTGGAGAAAAAAGGCTGGCATAGAAGTTTAATAAATTATTATTATTATTATTATTATTATTATTAGCATCTTTATGGACCACCTCAGGACCATAGAATCATAGAATCATAGAGTTGGAAGAGACCACAAGGGCCATCGAGTCCAACCCCCTGCCAAGCAGGAAACACCATCAGAGCACTCCTGACATATGGCCTCTGCTTAAAGACCTCCAAGGACCATGACCTCCTCTCAGGACCATGAAGCAGAATAAAAGTAATCTAGATATGTAAATAATAATAAAAATAAGACACCAAACATTTTTATGCACCATCAAGGGAAGAAGAAGAGCTCCGCATTCAAACATGATTCAAATAAACCCCCCATCATCCCTGAACATTGGCACTGCTGGCTGGGACTAATGGGAGCTGCAGTTCAGCAGCTCCTGGAGATTTTCTGGAGCGTTCCCTCCATGCCTGATCCAAGAGGACAGGCAGTGGAGCCAAGGCAGCAGTGGGTGGGACCGGACAATAGCTGGAGTTGGCTCTTCTGGCACAGAAGCCGAGCACACAGAGCTTCTCAAAATGTTCTAAGCTATCACAGTTGCAGGAAGCAAAACAAAAACAAAAAAGCAGCATAATTACAAATCCCGAAGACTTGTTTTAGCAAATGCACATTTTGCTCTTGTTTCAGAAACGCTGATTAGTTATATTCCCTGGAGGAACTGCATTTGACGGTGCTTCAATCAGAGGCAGAGAGGGATGAGAGGGCCTAATAAACTGGCACATCTGAATTGCAGATGCAGCTAGGAAGTTGAAAAGCACACCTTGGAAAAAAAATGGTCTTCTTTTCTTTCATTTTTTCAAAGAATAAAGCACACATTATCTTTCCACCTTCATGACTCCCCAAAAGCCCTCTCTTAGTTCCTGTCTCAGTGCTGGGAATCTATAGCTTTCCAGATGTTGTTGTATTTTCATCAGCTCCAGCCAACATGGTCAGGGATGAAGACAGGAGTAGTAGTCCAACAACATCTGGAAAGCCAGAGCTTTCCCATCCCAAGTCCAAGCCTAACATTGGGCAAAAGATTCTTGCATTGCAGGGGTTTGGACTAGATGGCATTTATGGTCCCTTCCAACTCTACAATTCTATGCAGCTGATTCTAAGTCAACAGTAATCAGAAACATTTGGGTCATCTTATCAAAGGTTTCTGTTACCGTCAAAATTATCCAGAAGCCTCTCTCAATCAGAAGATGCTTAAGACAAAAGTCATCTTGACATGTTGCTTCAGATGAAGTTTCGTTCCATGCAATCCCTGGCTTGTTTAAAAGTGAAAATGTCTAGTGGTCCTTAAAGCATTGCCACTGAGTCGCAGTCAGTGAAGAATTTCCCAGCGAACCTCTATTTGTTTCTCCGCCCGCCTTCGGTCCAGTCCCTTAGACTCCCAGGTTCAGATTTCGGCTAACAGAAGACCTACTGATCGCAATCCCTGGACCAAAGAGATCACCAGCTAACTGCACCATCTAGCGGCAGACCATTGGAAGGACACAGAAGATGATTTCTGGAAGAATAGCTTTTCCTTTCACATCACAATGCAGAGTCAATACACATTAGCCTAATCTCTGCAATTGGAATTGGCATCGTATATACAATGCAGAGGCAGTAAAGCTAAGGCTTTGCTTTAGGCATGTGGAAGATACAGATGACTAATTTATGAAGAGGTGGGATGTCTCCATCAGTAGCTTGCTCTGGCTCCCACTGAAAGCACCCTTTTGTATGCCAACTCTATCCAAATAACCAAAAAGCTACTGTTTCCTAAGAATAATCCAATAAATGACAGAGTACCAGGGCCAGGCTGAAATGGTAAGGAGTCAAACCCAAATCTAGACCCAGGATAGGCACTTTCCAGCAAAAGAATCCATGCTTTTCATTGCTGGAAGGGAAACAGGGACTTCAACTTGAGCACAATAGTGGACAAGGGCAGCAGGACAGGCCTGCCAGTGGTGTGGTGGAGGGGAAAACAGGAAAATGGAGCTCAGCTCTGCTGGAGCACCAAAGTAAATGTCTTACCCTTTTAGCTCTGGCAAATGAATGAGATGAAGAGGCTTTTAAAGTTAGTTTGTGAGATAGATACAGGCAAATAATCAGAGGGCAGATACTTCTTTCCTTTTCTTTGACGGGGTTCCTACTTCACACCAGCAGTTTCAATGGTAACACATGTTTGTAGCGTGACCTGCATTTCTAATGAAAATCTAAAAGCTGCATTTCAGATGGTTGATTGTTAATGCTCACTGTTTTATTTTGAGCCAGTGTAGGCAGAAGTAAGTACCACTGAGTTCAATGTAGCTAACTTCCAGGAAACTCTACACAGAACTGCTGGAAGACTGATCCTAACTCACAGGGCATTGTATTCTGTATTTTGTGTGCCTGCAGATGCACACATAATAATGTGTCAACACAGTTGCCTGCATTTTTTGGTCTCCCCTTCAGAATGTGGTTGCGAGGGTTGCTCCCGCACATTGAAATTGACAGTGCTGCTGCATCGCTATGGACTGGCCAATCCACAGGCCTCATGCTGACTGCAAATCACATGTACCAATGTTACGCACCCCTATTCACTTCTATGACTGAAGAAACCTCTGAGACTTGGGCACCCACACAGACTCCTAAGTAACTTGCTAGCCTCAGAGCATGAGATCCCCAGTTCATGGTCTGGAGTTCTTCACAGCGGGATATAAATGGTCAGGCTCTGTATTGCTATGTGGTACCCTTGGGCCAGAGTCAGCAGCTGGCCACCACTAGCCCAAGGGTAGGATGTGGTGCGGGCATAGCCAATTTCTCATTTTCTCCTGCCTTGCAAGAAACATTGTCGACATTTAAACATTTCAGCTTTACAAACAGCACCTCACTACTCACTAAGCTAAAAAAGGATCTTAGGTAAAGGTAAAGGGACCCCTAACCATTAGGCCTAGTCGTGACCGACTCTGGGGTTGCGGCACTCATCTCGCTTTATTGGCCGAGGGAGCCGGCGTACAGCTTCCGGGTCATGTGGCCAGCATGACTAAGCCACTTCTGGCGAACCAGAGCAGTGCACGGAAACACCGTTTACCTTCCCACTGAATTTATCTACTTGCACTTTGACGTGCTTTCAAACTGCTAGGTTGGCAGGAGCAGGGACCGAGCAACAGGAGCTCACCCTGTCGCAGGAATTCGAACCGCCGACCTTCTGATCGGCAAGTCCTAGATTCTGTGGTTTAACCCACAGTGCCACCCACGTCCCTTGAAAAAGTGTCTTACTTTGGGTTAAATGATATGGGATGATGGGAACTGTACTCCAGTAGCATCTGAAGGGTCAAATGCTAGTCAGCCTTGCAGTTAATGATAGAGGTAAAGGTAAAGGATGGGTGGCGCTGTGGTCTAAACCACTGATCCTCTTGGGCTTGCTAATCGGAAGGTCGGTGGTTCGAATCCCTGCAATGGAGTGAGCTCCCATTGTTCTGTCCCAGCTCCTGCCAACCTAGCAGTTTGAAAGCATGCCAGTGCAAGTAGATAAATAGGTACCACTGCGGTGGGAAGGTAAATGGTGTTTCTGTGCACTCTGGTTTCCGTCACGGTGTTCCGTTGCACCAGAAGCAGTTTAGGCATGCTGGCCACATGACCCGGAAAGCTGTCTGTGGACAAACGCCGGCACCCACGGCCTGAAAGCGAGATGAGCACCATAACCCCATAGCAGCCTTTGACTGGACTTAACCATCCAGGGGTCCTTTACCTTTTACCTTTAATGATAGAACTGAAAGCAATTATCTTGCTGTCTGAAGAAGCCACTCTACTATCTGAAGCTTGTAACACTTTTCATGTCGTAAGCCTTTGAATTTTAATATATTTCATTTTGTTTTATGTGATTCCTGTATTGCAGGGGTTAGACCAGATGTCCATTGGGGTCTCTTCCAACACTACAATCCTGTGATGCTATGATCCCTCTTTTTCAAAACTTTTTTCACCCACGGCAACAGCAACCAGTTCAGTAAACAATGACCTGATGGTGGCAAACACAATTCTCTCTTTCACACGATTCCTAGAAATTTAGGAGCAACTTCTAGTCTGTGTCTACCACCTAGTCTGTGCAACTTCTAGTCTGTGTCTACCCCCCAAACAAAGGACTCGGTCGATTATTATCCATCAATATAAATACTTCATTTATCTTGCAACAAGGACAAGCAAGGATTGAGCCAGCACTGTGAAAACAGGGGGGGAAAAGAATTGCCTTCCAGTTATGCTTATCCACTCTTTAGAAGTTGATACATGGAATTATTCCCTTCTTTAGCAAAACTCTCCCAGCTCCGAAGCAGCTCCAATACAAGCCTGTTGCACCAAGATCTGTGGCACATCAGCACTAACCTTTTCGACAACGGCGGACGTGACGAGAATTAAACGGTTGCCAAAGGGTACGATTTGCACAAAGGCGCATCAACCAACAGCTTAAGACAAGGAGGCACCTGGAGCTTTTAAAAATCCAGTTACTTCTCTCACTCTCTCTGTCTTTTATTTTGTTTATTTTTATTGGGAAAGCTCAGAAGTTGCCATGGAGAAGCGTTACTGACCTTCAGAGGCGAGATGTGCGATTGCAGGACGTATCCGTGGACATTTTCTATCTGCGATAAATTCTTTTCAGAAACGTGAACTAGTTCTGGCCCTCTCACTTCGTGAGTTAAGCGGGGTAAAGTATGGTCGTGTGGAGCATCCTCATCCTGGTAGCGATACTTCTGGGAGGCAAAAGGGGGGGGAGGGAGAATATTAAGGAACGGTGAAATAGGGATGGGTGAATCTGCCAGCTTTGGCTTCTGACAGTTTCTCATTTTTGCCTTCTTAAGTTCAGTTCAGTTCTCCACATTGGCGTGCTATTTGTTTTTATTTAAAAAAAGAACAAATCCACAAATTTCTCCTTATACACACATTTTTGTATATGGACTTGGCCTAAAGTACACATTTTTACAAAGCAATTTCCCCCTGACACAATGCGTTTTTTGCATGTTATTTTCACCAATGTATGTTTTTTTAAAATCACACCTCACCCTAGTATATGCAGTGTTGTGGCTAGAGAACCGTATTGCAAAATTCAGAAGTGTACGGATTTTGAAGGACGGCTGCTGTTTTGACCATACATTTTCAGAAAGTGCAGATTAAGTAAGTTCACCTTTAAATGTGAATTGAACTGAATTTCTCCCTCAACCCTACTGTGAATTTTACATTCTGAATTATGACCTTCTTAAGGAGAAGACAAATGTGGTTCGGATCAAAAACACCTTCTGAGCTCCATGTTGGTACAACACTGTTCCACCAGCTCTTAAAAGGTTTAACAAGGCCCGCTATATGATCTGCCTTAAGTCATATCAGATGTAAAGAAATGAAGGACATTTGCTGAGCATAATAAAGTGTATCAGGGGGATCTCCCAAGAAGTGAAAGGGAGAGATATGGGGTTTGGAAAGTGGTACAAACTTCCATACAGGTTTCCACCAAGCCTAGTTCTTTTCTGATCTTGCAGACCCCCAGAGGCCGACCTCCCAACACTTGAACTTAGGTCTCTTATCACTGCACTACGGCCACTTGAAACACAGTCTCACCACTTGGGGCTCCACCATCTTCTGCTTTGTGTCTCTGATTGGGACTGAAAAACCAGGGAGAATGTCAAGCTCCTGGCAGGCCATGACACACGGCTGCTGAGATATATCCAACTTGGCGATTCACAAGTGATGCAAGGTCTGCCTTAGGAACTGCCTGCCCTTTCTTCCCCAGTTAACTGCAGTTGGGCAAAAGCCCTTGCCCCTCCATGCATGCACACACACACACACACACACACACTCATTGCTTCACATCTTCCCAAAGAGCAGGTGGATGATGAACGATTGGTATCTGAAGAAGTGTGCATGCACACAAAAGCTTATACCAAGAATAAACTTAGTTGGTCTCTAAGGTGCTACTGGACATTTGTTTATTTTTATATATATATTGACTGTGTCAGACCAACACGGCTACCTACCTGGATTGCAAATCAGTGCCTACTACCAACAAGGCACTGTATGCTGTCGCCAACCCACAACAGATGATTTCAAATGCCCTGCAATTACCTCTAATGGAGGAGTGTGGATTGTGCCACTGTGAGCTGTTAAAATAAAAATGTGCCCATCTTTTTAAAAAAACAAAAAAACACAGAGAGAGAAATCTCAGTTGAAACAACAACAAAAATTAAAAAATCGTCCAGTAGCACTTTAGAGACCAACTAAGTTTATAGAATCATAGAATCATAGAATCATAGAGTTGGAAGAGACCACAAGGGCCATCGAGTCCAACCCCCTGCCAAGCAGGAAACACCATCAGAGCACTCCTGACATATGGTTGTCAAGCCTCTGCTTAAAGACCTCCAAAGAAGGAGACTCCACCACACTCCTTGGCAGCAAATTCCACTGTCGAACAGCTCTTACTGTCAGGAAGTTCTTCCTAATGTTTAGGTGGAATCTTCTTTCTTGTAGTTTGGATCCATTGCTCCGTGTCCGCTTCTCTGGAGCAGCAGAAAACAACCTTTCTCCCTCCTCTATGTGACATCCTTTTATATATTTGAACATGGCTATCATATCACCCCTTAACCTCCTCTTCTCCAGTCTAAACATGCCCAGCTCCCTTAGCCGTTCCTCATAAGGCATCGCTTTCCAGGCCTTTGACCATTTTGGTTGCCCTCCTCTGGACACGTTCCAGTTTGTCAGTGTCCTTCTTGAACTGTGGTGCCCAGAACTGGACACCACCAGAACTGGGTAGGTTGCTGAGGCACAGAACAATGACGGCAAAGCACTATGGACTCACACTTTCCAGGCCACAATGTATTATTAGTCGCCTTCGTAGGACATGACAACCTGTCATGCTTTCTTACTGCCAGCATTTGGTACACTTAAGCTAAACCGGCACTGTACTTCCTTTGCAGAGAGTTCATAATTACCGTTGTGCATCACATGAGAGAATTAATTGAAGGTGACTTTCAGCGAAGTCTTGAGCCCCAAATCCATTCAGCTAAGTTGATGCGGTCTCCCTCCCCATAGGGCCAGGACAAGAGCTTCCTTTCATAACGCTAAATTTCTTATTCAGATCATCAACAATAATCATACTGGGTTCTGGTGTAAGCCTCAGTACGTAATCTTCTGATACGTAATCATTCACTCAGAGAGGCTTTGCTGGGAAGCTAAGAAACACCTTATTCTCCTGAGGTTGCTTAAAAAATAATAATAAAATTACATGCCCCAGCAGCTTGTTAAAGCTCCATTGTTGTCCATTTTGGTATGGTATTCTTCCAGCGCATAATAAAGAGATTGCTCTGTTGGTTTATAAATTGTCAGGCCAGCCAAAATCAGATAAAAAGGAAGTGGTGTGGCCTTTTCACTATGTATGATGTTACTGGTGAAACCTTTCCTTTCCAAGATTGCTCAAGTCTTTCAAGGAAGCCAGGGTCCTTCTCAGCAGTAGATGTGCTGAGAGTAGTTAGGAGATCCCTATTCCTCTCACAGAGCTAGTAGTAGCAGCAGCAGCAGCATTCCCAGCAGGGCCAGTCCAATACATTTTGCTGCTTGAGGCAAAATAGAAAATGTTGTCCCTCCTCCTCTGCTGCTGCCTGAAGTGACTGGAGGTGGCTAGGGGGTGCCATGGCAGACTGAAATCAGTGAGGGAGAAAAAAAGGAACCCAGAGATGAGCAGGTGGCCATGGCTCTGTTCTTTCCCCTCCCAGCTCTCCCTAGTCTGCTGCCCGAGGCGACTGCCTCACTGAGGCTGATGTGTGGGCCGGCCCTGATCAATCCCTCCTCCTAGGAAACAGTCAATACCTCTGCCCAGGGAACTCTGGAAATTGAGGCCTCCTAACAGTGCTCAGAACTGGACACAGTACTCCAGGTGAGGTCTGACCAGAGCAGAATACAGTGGCACTATTACTTCCCTTGATCTAGATGCTATACTCTTATTGATGCAGCCCAGAATTGCATTGGCTTTTTTAGCTGCCGCGTCACACTGTTGGCTCATGTCAAGTTTGTGGTCAACCAAGACTCCTAGATCCTTTTCACATGTACTGCTCTCAAGCCAGGTATCCCCCATCTTGTATTTGTGCCTCTCATTTTTTTTGCCCAAGTGCAATACTTTACATTTCTCCCTGTTTGTTCTGGGTAATTTATTTTGGCTGTGTCAGACCAACACAGCTCCCTACCTGAATCTAGAAATCTCAGTGTTTGTTTAAGGTAGCTAAATGGAAGGATCAACGCTGCAGGGCACAGCATTGTCTCAGATCCTTTCGGAAGTACAGTTGCAGGCTGAGAGCTGTTGTGGTTTTCTTTAAAACAATGTCAACAAAGCAGGAAAGGCAGACAGTGAAGTTCCCCCAGAAAATTCAGGATTTTTAAACGAAAGATATTAACACAAATTTCTTGAATCAGCTTTCAGTGGGAAGATAGGGAGCTGCCTTATTCCAAACCAGACCCATTGGCCCATCTAGCTCAGAAGCTCCTGGGAATTTCGGGTGAGATTCTCTATCAGCCCTTTCTGAAGATGCCGTGGATGGAAACCGGGGCTTTTCTACATGCCAGGCAGAGGTTCTGCAATAATTAAACTGCATTCAACAGGGTCGTTGTTGTTTTTTAAGCAGTTTGATGAGCCATATGAGGAACGCTTTTGGGGTACAGAAGAAGAAGAAGAAGAAGAAGAAGAAGAAGAGGAGGAGGAGGAGGAGGAGGAGGAGGAGGAGGAGTTTGGATGTGATATCCCGCTTTATCACTACCTGAAGGAGTCTCAAAGCGGCTAACAATCTCCTTTCCCTTCCTCCCCCACAACTAACACTCTGTGAGGTGAGTGGGGCTGAGAGACTTCAGAGAAGTGTGACTGGCCCAAGGTCACCCAGCAGCTGCATGTGGAGTGGGGAATCGAACCCGGTTCACCAGATTACGAGTCCACCACTCTTAACCACTACACCACACTGGCTCTCGTTAACTGAAAGTTAAAGAGAAAGCCTGTGAGGTGGAAGGTCCCAAGTGCTTTATAATTTCATTGTAATGTTATGGCTGATTTCGGAGCTCCTGGCTGAAAACCAGGAGCTGAAGATTAAGTGAACACAGGATTCTCTTCTTAGAACAGCACAAAACAGATGACAAATCACTATTACAGCCATACCTTGGTTGTCAAACGGAATCCATTCCAGAAGTCAGTTCGACTTCCAAAAACGTTCGAAAACCAAGGCACAGCTTCCGATTGGCTGCAGGAAGCTCCTGCAGCTGATCGGAAGCCGCAGAAGCCATGTTGGCTGTTCGGGTTCCAAAGAACGTTAGCAAGCCAGAACACTCACTTCCGGGTTTGCGGCGCTCGGGAACCAAAACGTACGAGTACCAAGACGTTCGAGAACCAAGGTATGACTGTAGTTTCAATGGAGCACTACATTCACAAGCATAATGCCAGAATCAGGGCAGAGGGCTGTTGCCGTCCTTTTCTGTTCACTGGGTTTGCTGGAGGCATGTGGCTGACAGCTATTAGCAGCAAGATGCTTGTCTGAATGGACCTCTGATCTGATCTGCAAAGTTCTTCTTCTATTTAATGTCCCAGTGTGTCTTTAAGGCTGCACAAAGATTGCAATGTCCTCCTGCCTGCTTTCCACTTTCACTGTATCTCAGTGCAATTGAAGCTTCGAAACACAAGATGGCAGAACAACCATCATCTTGAAGGTTGCCTACGGTTGGCCTGATTCGATTCTATAAATAAAAGCCTGGTGAGCTAGGAAGGTAGAATCAGTACAAGCCCTGTGTGCAATAAACCTTGGGTTGACTTTTTATTATTATTTCCAGTAGCTCAATGGGTATGTGTTTGTGGGTGTGGGTGTTTGTATTTTAAAGGCTGCGGCTTCTTCAATAAAAGCACTTTATGTGAGCAGTCAATCATATTTGCAGGCAGCCGAAAGAATTCTAACAACACATTAGAAGCATCTAGTGTGATTGCACCGCTGTGATTCTAATGGATTTCCCTGAAAGTTAGCATCATCAAAGTTGGATCAGTTCTGTGGGCCTTCCAGAACCAGCACCTCAACTTTTGCCCCCTACCAAAGCCCTACAGTAGCAGGATATGTCCCAAGTATTTTCATCCCATCTTAAAATAAAAACAACAATGATGTTATAAGAAAAAAATGCTCCTTTTCCCTTATGGGGTATTATTATTATTATTATTAATAATAATAATAATAATAAAAATAAAATAATAATAATAAATTTATTTCTATACCGCCCTATACCCGAAGGGTGGTTCACATTAAAATCAGGGCAGTTCACATGCCCTTATGTAGGTTCTATATTGGTAGGAGAAAATAACAGAGGCCAACCAGAGAATATTGAGAATGAAAGCAGCTAGTAAGCCTGATCTTTATTAAACTGTTGCAACAGGGTGCTTAAATCACCCCACACACAGGAGGGAGGAGGAACCCAGAACATTGGGGTGCAAGCTCTTATATAGACTTTTGAAATTGCCCACCCTGTAGCCCAAGATCACCACCCCTCGAAACATCATACATACATCACAGAAGGAGGCGGTCTACAGCAGAATTCCTGCCTGCCAGGGGACCTGATAATGATCACTGATTGCATTACCTGGGCAGTCTGGCCATTCTTTTGTGGTGGTAAATACTCAGTTCCTGAATCCAGGTCACAGGCTCACCTTATTCATACACAGATACACCCTTAAGACAGGATTTGTGAGCAAAGAGACAATGGGGAGGTTTTCCCATTTCCTTCCTCCTTGCAGAGAAATATTTGAGATCAATTTGGGGCAGTCAAAATGGCTTCAGGATTGTTCTCCTGTACTATTTCAGACACGTGGTTTACAGTGGTACCTCGGGTTAAGAACTTAATTCATTCTGGAGGTCCGTTCTTAACCTGAAACTGTTCTTATCCTGAAGCACCACTTTAGCTAATGGGGCCTCCCGCTGCCGCACGATTTCTGTTCTCATCCTGAAGCAAAGTTCTTAACCCGAGGTACTGTTTCTGGGTTAGCGGAGTATGTAACCTGAAGCTTCTGTAACCTGAAGCGTCTGTAACCTGAAGTGTCTGTAACGCGAGGTACCACTGTATATACTTACGTATGTGTTTGCCTGGTACATTTATGAACATTTATTTTATCTCTTAGACCTTATAATTCTCATACCAAATATTGATCCCACATTTCAGGCAATTCACAAGAGCAATTCAAATTGCTCTTGGATTACTCAAAAGAAGACACAATCAGGAAAAGCATGAGTATTAATTAACCATTTACCACGGTTAAGAAGACAACAGTGAAACAATCAGTTCCCTGTGCTCCAGGGGGCATTTCAGCATCTGTCTTCCCCTAACCTTCCTTAAGTGCTTTTCAAATCTGAGAGTTCTTTCAAAAGCAATTTGTGATACAGCGTTGGAGATGAGAGATATGTCTCTTCCCCAACACAAGTCACAACCAAAACACAAATTTAAAAGTCCTGACTGAGTGCATTATCTGCCTATCAATGTATATTTATGCAGATGTGGGGGAATGCCCAATCCCAAAATGCTTGCTATTTTGTTCTGAAGTAATTCAGAAGTAAGGGACGTGGGTGGCGCTGTGGGTTAAACCACAGAGCCTAGGACTTGCCGATCAGAAGGTCAGCGGTTCGAATCCCCACAACGGGGTGAGTTCCCGTTGCTCGGTCCCTGCTCCTGCCAACTTAGCAGTTCAAAAGCATGTCAAAGTGCAAGTAGATAAATAGGTACCACTCTGGCGGGAAGGTAAATGGTGTTTCCGTGCACTGCTCTGGTTCGCCAGAAGTGGCTTAGTCATGCTGGCCATGTGACCCGGAAGCTGTACGCTGGCTCCCTTGGCCAATAAAGCGAGATGAGCGCCACCACCCCAGAGTCAGCCATGACTGGACCTAATGGTCAGAGGTCCCTTTACCTTTACCTTTAATTCAGACGTAAGCTTCTCTCCACCCCCACAACAGCACTGGCAACACTGCATACCAAACTACAGGCAAATTCAATTTAGCAATAATCTGGAACCCCTGATTTTTATTTTTGTTTTGCTGGTCAAATAAAAAATCATTTACTTCCCTAGAAATTCCTCTGATATTTTGCCCATGTACAACCTTCTACCTTTGCCACGGAGTCTGTTTCTTTGAGGATAATTTGGTCACAAGCCAAAAAAAATGAACATTTTAGAGACTTATTTTCCCCATGCTAGTTGTTTCAAGAGTTCAACATTGGCTAAAACCCTGAGATAATTACCTATCTTGTGATAATTGTTGAATTTCCATGTTTATTGAAAATGGGCAAGTTGTAAATACTTGTTCTGTTTACATTATTGCATTATAAATTAGGGGGGAAAGTAATTTATCTATTGCCGGTCTGATGAATTTGGGCCATTATCTGCAAAGATACCTAATTTGCTTACTACAGATCCAATCTCTTTCTCTGCTGGAAAAGTTATAACAAGTTCCAGAGATGTGCTTTTTCTCTATTTATCAAAGGCTTTCAAAAAGAAAAAAAGGGTGCAATTATAGCAACTTTTCCTGAATACACAAAATGCTAAGAGCTTTGAACAAAGCAAAGTGGGGTAGGGCTGTTATTTCAGTGATCCTGTTTGCCATTTAGCTTCCCCCCCCCCCCCCCCCCGCCCTCAAAAAAATATTAATCTGATCCTGTGTGCTGCTTTTCAAATGAGAAGTTTGCCATTTAAGAATAACAGTGATATAAATCATAGCAGCGAAACCATTGAGGGAAGTGTAACACACTAGCACAACCATAATAAGGATGACTTCTGCTAATGAACACGGGGGGAGGTGGTTTTTGCTAATTCATGCCTCCCCACACCCCTAAAATGAAACTTTCATTTAAAGGTTTAAATGTTACACTAAATTCAGGTTACGTCTTCTACGACTCTAGGGACTCAGCTGATTGGTAAAGAAAAAGCACTTTACAGTGGTACCTCGGGATGCGAACGGGATCTGTTCCGGAGCCCCGTTCGCATCCAGAAGCAAACATAACTAGTGACGGCACGTCTGCGCATGCATGCGTCGCTTTCCGCCGCTTCTGCGCATGCGCGTGACATCATTTTGAGCATCTGCGCATGCGTGAGCGGCAAAACCCGGAAGTAACGCGCTCCGTTACTTCTGGGTTGCCGCGGAGTGCAACTCAAACGCGCTCAACATGAAGCATATTCAGCCCGAGGTATGACTGTATATGTGTTGTATATGCAATATAACACTGTGACAACAGGTGGCGCTGTCGAGTCCCATCTTTCACTACTGGATTTCCCTGTATGAGTTTACAACACGTTTAACTGAATCACTTCTTTGACGTGTCTAGATCCAGCCCATGTCTTAATGCTAAATACCATTAATACCAGAAAGGTGTATTTTCATTGCATCTTCCATTTAAATGCTAGACAGTTCATAACAGGAGAATATTGATACATATTTCTAAGAGCAAGAGAATATAATGTAACAACCAAGGTATTGGCAACTTTTTCAATAAACCCTAGAAGATGCCTTTTTATAACAGGCCAATTTTTCTTTTCAACAGTGTGATACAATTTCTTTAATACAAAATCCACACAATATCTAACATACCACTTCTCAATTTTTAATCACGTAAGCAATATCCAAAAGTTGTGTCTTCTGCATAACAAAGAAAAAAAACTGTTGCAACTTGCCTTTTCCATTCCTATCATTTTTTAAAAAAATAGTTTTCGTTAACCAAGGCATGTTGCCCGGTATTCTTTCCAAATCTCCACCCCCACACCCACCCCAGCAAAGAGATAATAATAAACTCTCTCTTTTTCCCTTCCGCAGGGGGACGGGATAGCAGTAAGAAAAACCAGTGACTTTTCCAGTTTACAACCAAGGTACAATCATCCAGAATGAAAGCCTCTGGACCTATTTGTCTGAACTGTGACAGGTTTCTTGTCTGGAGCACCTCCTTAAACCGCACAGATTTTCAAACTGATCGCCCACAAAAGAATTAGCAAGGGAATGTGTTTTTGTTGTTTTTTTCCAATCTGGTAAGAGAAAACTAGTCTATCTTTCTGAAATGTGTTAAGACTTCATCCCCTCAGAACGGGAAGCCATGCCTGCAATTTGCATCCAATACTGGTAAAAAATTAACGAGTTAATTAAGGGGGGGAGGAGCTTTAAAGGTTCCCTGTACATACATACACACACTGGAAGGATTTACGGGATGTGTGGAAGGTTTAATCCACTCTGGCGGGGCGCCTTTGCCTGCAGATTTCATGCAAAATGCAAAGTTATAGCTATGTTTAATTGTAATGGGAGTGAAAAAGAACTTTGGGTTGATCATTTGTACCTAGATAATGAATCAAATTAAAACAACACAGAATGAATTTGAAACAGATCACGCTAGATTAAAATGATACGGATACAGAATGAAATGAGGGGTTGCTGCACATCTCTAATTTCACCCTTCCCTATATAACAATGAGCGGCTGCTTGGAACATTCCTTTGCCGCAAAGAATTCAACAAAATAAGTGTCCTGGGGAACAAAGTGTTCAAGCTATACTTCATAGCAGGGGCAGGAAAACCTTTGGCCGACCAGATGTTACTGGACTACAACTCCCATCATCCCTGATCATTGGCCATGCTCTCTGGGGCTGATGGGAGTTTGAGTCCAACAGCATCAAGAGGTTTCTGCCCACGCCTGCCTATAGGGCTTGTGTGTATCTATGCCATGTATCTAACCCATGGAAATAGAGACTGTTTCGAAGAAGGGGCTGTCATCTCTGAAGAAATTGAAGCTGACAATTTTAAAACACTACAGTCACTTGAGACCTACTGCACTACCAAGAGCAAAAGATGTAATCATAATTGTGCCAGTTCCATGCAAACCATTAAACTGGCCCAAAGAGGACAAGGGCGGGCTGGTGTCAACTTTAGAAGCTAAAAATCATAAAGGCACACACAGAGAGGCAATTTTCATTCGGCAAAAATAGTGCCGTTCTCAACAGCAGAACGTGAAACTTAATAATAAATCACTCCAGGAAAAGGCGTAGGACATATATAAATATCAAATGTTATTATCGTTACTGTTATTCTGCTAGCAGCAAAGAGCTAAGTTATATTATATATTTCATAAAG